CTTGTCCACCCCCCACTCCCAGCCTTTATCAAAGACTAAGGACCATCAGAGGTTTATCGCTGCTGGAAATGGGAGCAGGAAGCAGATGTTGTTCTGATTACACACACTCACACATTCACACAAACACACTGCACCAAGCAGCAAATGGTACTAGCTGTTGCCTCAAGGCCCAAGAACAGTTGAGGGCCAAGTCTTTGAGACTTCCAGACATGTTATCTGCAGAACACGTGCTACAGAATGCTCAAACTGCCAACAGATTGGTCAGTTTTATCATCCTGTGTGTGTGTGTGTGTGTGTGTGTGTGTGTGTGTGTGTGTGTGTGTGTGTGTGTGTGTGTGTGTGTGTTGGCGATAATCAGCTAAGAACGAAGAAGAGGCTAAAGGAACTGCTGGATGAGCTGCTTGGCCTCTTTCCTGTTATTAGATGAAATCATATAAACCAGTAATGAATGCATGATGGGTAAAAGATCATATCACCTCCAGAGACGCAGTGAGCGAAATATATGATGTGGGAAAGAAATATAAAGTTAAAAAATCCGTAGATATAATTTTCTGATCATTTTTCTTACACTCACACACACACACACACACACACCCACACACACACACACACACACACACACACACACACACACACACACACACAGACACACACACACACACACACACACACACACACACATGCACTCGCACATTCACACACATGCACACACACACACACACACACACATACAATCACACACACACTCACACACACACACACACACACATTCACACACGCACACACACACACGCACGCACACATGCATGCACACACTCACAATCACACACACATGCATGCACACACACACACACACACACACACACACACACACACACACACACACACACACACACACACACACACATATACAATCACACATACACTCACACACACACACACACACACACACACACACATGCACACACACATTCACACATGCACACACACACACACACACACGCAAACACACACACACACACGCACGCACGCACACATGCACACACACATTCACACACATGCACACACACACACACACATGCACACACACACACACACACACATGCACACACACACACACACACACACACACACAGTGTGTGTGTGTCGAGCAGAGGTAGCATATCAGACAGAAAAGCGAACATGAGAGACTTCTTCTGACGTGAAACTAGAGAAACACAAGAACCACATTATTTCTCACTCTAAATTCTCCGCGTCATAACTTCTGAATGACTGATTGAATTAAAATAATTCCAAAGGTTTTAAAAAGGACATAGAACGAGCTTTCCAATGAGGTATTAACAGATTTAGCGTGAAGCTAATTCACATCTGCAGTCCTGAATGAATGAGTGTTATCTTATGTTACCTCATATTTACTTTACTCCATGCCGTTCTGTGAGCTAGAGCGTATACCTACCTGTGGTCACCGACAGGGCTGCAGTCAAGAATTTAGACAATAGAAACAGTCATAAACTGGCCAACATGAGGCAAGGTTCACGCTTTGCAACACAGTTCAGTTTAAATTGTTCATTTGAAACGAGCCCATTTGAAGTTCCTGTTTAGTAATAAATGTAAGAAAAATCTAATCCATTTAATTATTATTTTTTATACGTTTAAGCTGCATTTTTACAGCGTTAAAAACATTTAGCACTTTTTATTACAATTTTACAGCCATAGAACAAAAAAAAAATACAAGGTGGTCCAGTTATAATTCTGGTAATAGAGGGTTAAACATGTGATGAATGTTCTCCCGCCCATGAAGACATGGTTCAAAGTGAATGTGAGAATAAATACTTATGTTTCATTACTTTATTATGTATTTTAATTATTAATTTTTACGTTGTTATTATAACACTGGAAATAAATAATGAGGGAAATCAGCACCATGAAGAAAACCTATGGTTGTAGTATGTGCAGTATTCTGGAAATGGTATGAAAAGCCAACTCTGTGTGAATGTACTTGTCTTTATGCTTAAGTGGACACATATTAACTGTAACATGGGGACAATTTTACATTGCGGGGACATTTAGCTGGTCCACACAATGCCAACTATCCTAAAACTTGTTTTAGAGGTTTGGTGTGAATTAACCTTTAGTTTAGATTAGTTTAAGTTAGGGTTAGGAGTAGAACTCCATTAGTTAGTGTTAGGGTATGAGTTAGACATAGTGGAGTCACTAAAATGAATAGAAGTTAAAAGAGGTGTGAGTGCGTGCGTGTGTGTGCGCGTGTGTGTGTGTGTGTGTGTGTGTGTGTGTGTGTGTGTGTGTGTGTGTGTGTGTGTGTGTGTGTGCCCTCATAAGGAGATAAGGTGGTATCCAGTCTGATATTGTGTAGAGGCTGTTGTGAGGTTGATAGCAGAGCTCTCAGGTTTAGGGTGAAGTTCAGAATTGGATCAGGAGTTTCCTACAGACAGGAGAAGACCCCAGCTAACATAGCTGCAGATCACACTGGATAACTTCACGTGGTTGCATTTATTCTACTCATTTTTTTACTCATATTTTACCACCTCTTACATGAGCTGTCTTTAGTGAGTGCAAAGTCAGTGTTATTGTACGCCTGTGCAATGACAAATTATGTAGAATCTTGAATACTTTCAATGTACTTCCTGAATGAGTGGCTTTTAAGGCTAAATGAGTAAAATAACAAATACTGACAGAAGGACAACTTGTGGGTTCTTCCATTATCTTCCTTTTTTTTGTAACACATTGCATTACTGTCTCGTATCGGAGCAGGACTAAGTATTGGAAGATAATCAAAAATCAAACAACTTGGACAAAAATGTGGTTGTAACATCTTTAGATATAAGTCAGCTTTAAAAACTAAAACAATTATTTGTGAACTAACATTACCTTCATTTAGTGACACTAAATTACATATTTTTCCTAGTTTATATTGTTGTTAGAACCCAAGGATCTCATTATCTGAATTTTCAAACTTGTTGGATCGTAAATCTGTTTAAAAAATTTGCTCTATTGTGCCCTTTTATTTAGTTTGAGCACCCGCCCCTTCAAAGGTCTCTGCACGGCCCTGCACACACACACACACACACACATGCATGCATGCAAACACTCACACACGCAATCTCACACACACACACACACTCGCACGCACACACACACACACACACACACATGCATGCATGCAAACACTCACACACGCAATCTCACACACACACACACACTTGCACGCACACACACACACACACACACACACACTGGCATGCACACACACACACACATGCATGCACACACTCACACACGCAATCACACACACATTCTCATGCACGCACGCACACACACACACACACACTCGCACACACACACACACACACGCACACACACACACACACACACACACACACACACACACGCATGCACACACTCACACACACTCACACACAGGATCTATCAGCTTCATAGCTCTTTCTGCATCGGATTAAACTAAATAACAAAAATTCTGTTTCAAAATTTGACCTTCATGATTTTACTTGAAAAAGTGTTTGACTCGACCCATTTTCAACGATCCAACTGAACTATGGATCTCGTTGAGTCATTTCCCACCTGTTCTCCTTGGGTTTGCCTTCAGTTGTTCCCAAGAGGGCGTCCCACACCGATATCGGATCACACGCTCGTTGTGGTGCCACAGAACAGATCTTTTTAGCTGAATCAAAGATCAACATACTCCACGTGTTGCAGTGCTCTGCAGAGCGTTGGAATATGAAGTGGTTGTCAGACAAGCTGCAGCATTCGTGGAGAAGCCAAGAAATCTAGACAAACAGCTAAAAGGTTTCCCTGCAGGTCGGTCTAGCCACGCTCTCGGCCCTCAGCAGGTCTACCATAGGCTGAGCTAAAGTGTAAGAGCCTGATTTATACTTCACCGTCTGTGTCGCCGCGGAGACACACAACACCATTATGTGTTAGCTCAAGGGCTCTCAGACAGGCTCGCAGAGGGTGATGGAGACGTGCCCGACATGTTAAACTGCTGTTCAAAGTGATGGAGACCACAAGCTTGTGATTGGTCACCATTGCTCCATCAAAAGTAAAAAGATGCATCACAGAAAAAGTCAGAAAATATGAACGTTTATTCACCCCTTGAATGAAGGAGAACAAAGATAGAGCAAAGGTTCTCATTTGTGGACCTGTCAGGAAACGTGGGGTTAGAGGTGGAGGAGAATGAAGGTCAAATTCATCCGAGTTATAAAGTCTCATTAGTAAATACTCTATGGTGGCATTAAACCACAGAAAGGTGCTACGCCCTCTGTTGTCCTGGCGGGGAACTGCTTTACAACGCTCCAGGGGACGGACAAGTCCCAATGCCTCCGTCAACGCGTGTGCGTCACTCCCTTGTGGAGCTTAAGCTGGGCCAATCACAGCACTCAATATGTTTGTAGAGAGGCAGTCTTAGCACCATCATAGCAGAGCTGCAACGGAGCAAAACAACAAAGGTGATGTCGGCTCAGGACCCACGCTGGTTTGAAGTGACTTCTGCATCAGCGTTAAGACGATCTAGACTCGGGCTGTAGTGTGAGACATGAGCAGACACGGGTAATTCTGCTCTGACAGCGGATGGCAAACTGCCTGCTGATTGATTTTCATCGCCTTGAATAAGTTATCTTGTTCATTCTGCTGATTGGTCCCAGCGCTGTCCAGCTGTGTGCAGAGATGGTTTGAAAAACAAGCGTACGACTGAGCTCTGTCTGTGGGTCATGGGCAGACGATGCGTTTACTTACATAGGCTTGCAGTTTATGGTGTCCCAAAATGAAATAAATTAAAAAATAAGCATGTTTGGGAACAAAAAATAAATGTGAAACTACATAAGGGTGGATAAATATACACAGATGACATTTTCAAGACATACGAAGAACATTTAAAGCTGAAGCAAGGTCCAGAGGTTTTAGAAGCAGCTGTCATTGAAATCTGCACAAGGCAGTGACTTTTACAGATGAATGAACGGCACAGAGACGGTCAGGTTTCTACTTTAATAAGAGTGCACTTTGTCACCTCTTTATTTACTTCACTTTAGGCTATTATTTTACAAACTAGATATAAAAGAACATAAATAAATGACTTAAGTTACATGTACCTAGAGCTCCTTGACAAAATAAAGAGAAATGATCATAACGTCTCCCCAGAAGTACAAAAGAGAGCGAGAGAATGTTAAATTTACATGGCTAGATCATGATGGCGTTGGAAGGCAAACAATGACAAATGTGTTACGTTTCTGTTTCTCTTTTCAACTCATTTGATATTTAATTAAAGGGGAAAAAAAAGTATCTTACAGTACATTCTGGTTTCCTTCTCCTTCCTAACGTGTCTTGTTGATTTCCAAACAGGTCCGTTTCATATAGACACCCCCCTCCCCTCCCCGAAACAAACAACAAAACCAGCAAACTATCAGAGAGAGAAAGAGAGAGAGAGAGAGAGAGAGAGAGAGAGAGAGAGAGAGAGAGAGAGAGAGAGAGAGAGAGAGAGAGAGAGAGAGAGAGAGAGAGAGAGAGAGAAAGAGAGAGAGAGAGAGAGAGAGAGAGAGAAAGAGAGAAAGAGAGAGAGAGAGAGAGAGAGAGAGAGAGAGAGAAGAGAGAGAGAGAGAGAGAGAGAGAGAGAGAGAGAGAGAGAGAGAGAGAGAGAGAGAGAGAGCTGCAGCACTGCGTTAAGGATGGAGGTGTTTACTCTAAACGATGCTTCTCTGTTGAGTTCAGTAACATTCACACAGAGCGGGTGTGGTCCACTGGGTCAAACTGGTAGCTGTAGGATACCCATCTTGCACCCCTTCAGGTTTGTCCTCCATCTTCCATCTAAGATGGCTGCCCAACCGTTCAAATTCAGCTTTGTCCCGTGTGCACCGGAGACTTTTAGTCCCGCTCTGCTGCGTCTCCGTGTGTCCGTCTGCAGCTGCTGTTGCTGCAGGGCAGGAATGGGTTTCCCTCCATCCCCAAGCTCAGGAAATGTTTGTGCTGAAGAGTCTGCACTTGGAAAGCAACACCTTACTTGCTGCTCTTGTTTTTCTAATGGTGACAAAAACAACTATTGATTTTTAAAAAATAAAAACTGTACAATTCGATTTTTTTCTACAGTTTAATTAAAACAGAGAAAATCAGTTTGTCACTCATACACACACACACACACACACACGCACACACACACAAATCAGACCCTTCTTACTCCACATGCAAACAGAGCGAATAAAAAACTACAGCTCACGAGTTCTATGAGACTTCCTAAAAGCGTACGTCATCCCGCGGAGCTGAGCTTTTCTCTTACATTCTTTTTTTGGACTGAATCATTGAATCGTTCGTATCAACTCTTTTTCATCGCTGGAGGGTCACAAGCACGGGACTGCTAGTCTGTCATGTTGACATGCTATGAGCCTCCCGGGAGCTCGAGGATTATCCGTCCTCTAGTTAAAGGAAAAACCCTCAAATATCCCTTGGGACAGGGAATACAGAGGACGAGGAAGAAGGACGATGAAGAGGAAGAGCGGGTGGAATTCCAGTCGTGGCGAGTGGAGCCAAGTTCCTGTGTGTGATGGACGGCAGCAGCTGGAGAGGAGAGATGGAAAAAAAGATGGAATGAGAGTCTGCATCAGTCACGGTGGTTTTCTGTGTAAACTGCTTGGTTCCGGCGAGCAGAGCTGCTCTCCAGAACCAGAACCAGAACCAGAGCCAGCTCCACAGAACATTCAGATCTTCAGCTAAACAAAGGCCAGTGCCAAGCTGGAGCATGCAGACAGTAAAGTGCTGGTCCACGGGGGGGAATGTGGACGTTATGGCGGCCATAAGTTAACATTTGTGAGCCACATGTTGTTTGTGAAAACATGAAGCATGCCTTTGATTTACTGCCACCAATCAAAAGCCGAGAAACGGGCATTTACAGGACATCTGCATGAGATTAATGATCTGTGCTGCAGCAGCAGCATCGATCTGCCCACTCGACATAAATCAGCGTCTCCATGAGCAACGGTTCATGTTAGTAATGTGTGTGAGAGCTCGGTAATGTCATCAGACACGGATCTCATGTGCAGGACGTTGTTTTCACATTAGCTAAAGGTTTTTGGGTTTGAAAATGAGATTTTTCATCTTTAGCATTGGCAGTGAGACACAAACACAGATTCATCTGAACACAGCCGTACGTCTCACACGAGTAACAGATGGACGGGCTTGATCAGGCATCTCTTCATGCTGGGGACTCACGTCCACAGAGACGCACCGATCCTGATGCTGAAGGCCGATACTGGTCTACGGCTCTCTGACCTGATGAGACTGAGCTGATTTTTACATCTGAAACTTTTAATAATTTCTCTTATACATGAAAAATGAGACAAAAATGGAAATTTGAAGAGCTGCCAGACCAGGACAAATGCTGGACTCCTTGGTAAAGGGACAAAAGGAATGATTTTTGAGTTCTGGACAGGCCGATTACTGATTTGGCCGACTCTTCTGACAAAATGATCTATATCTCTGAATGTGAAAAACCACCAATTTATTTGTAACAGCGTGTTTCAACACAGCGTGAGAGCTGACCAAAACGCCTTGCAGAGGTAAATAAAAACAGAAAATAAACAGTTAAGTACAATACAGTCAAAACAAGCATGAAAGGGTCATAATCCAGAAGCCAAATCATAGAAATGAGTCTTCAGTCTTGAGTAGAAGACCGGGGCAGTACCGTACGGTGAATGGAAGGACAACCCAAAGGACACAGAATAACAGTGATTTGTTTTTATTTTGTTTAATGGTGGTGGTCACATCCAACCTGTTATCTTCTAGATAAGCAAACACTCAGCAGCTCTGGCTATTTCTGTTGTAATGGACAACAAGTGAAGTGATGAATGTCAAGTAAATGACGAGTGCAACATCATTAACCCTTTCATGCATAATGGTCACTACAGTGGACAGGTACACAAAATTGTTATTTATTTATTTTTACTATTAAGCGCAGCTGTTGAAGACTTTATTGCATTTGAGCCCCTCCATTTGGACTTCAGTAAGTCAAGCCACCATGTTTCATGTTCAGATTGCACGCTGTCCACTGAGGTGGACATGTCAGAAATTATTTGTAAATTAACAAAATGTTACAAAAAATATTTGTTGAAATTTGTTTCATTCACACCTAAAGATGAATGAAAAAAATTGCTTAAAAAATCATGGTTGAAGATTTCATAATTCATGCATCAAAGGGTTAAACAGCAAACCAGAACTCGATTGGTTCACAACAGAACTCAACTCACTGAAAACTAGTCGGCAACCCTCAAACCAGCTGAGAACAAAGAAACAGGGCTCAGCTCGAGCTGGAAAGTTATTGATTCTTTTCTTCAATATTGCAATTGCGATTTAATTCACGATTATTTTCTCTACGGGCTTTTCTCATGTTTTTCAACTAACAGAAGCCAAAAATATCTGTGTAACTTGTACTTAATATAAACAAGTTTAGTATCTACAATTTTATCTACATATCACCAGTGTTAAGAACGTTACTTTAAAAAAGTAATTAGTTATAGTTACTGATTACTTCGTCAAAAAAGTAACTCAGTTACTTACTGAGTTACAAGATTCTAAAGGTAACTAATTACAAAGAAAAATAACTATTTTGTTACTTTTTCATTAAAGAATGCAGGAAAATGGGTTTACCTCTTAATTAAACGTACTCGGCTATGTTAACTTATCCTCCCATGGATGTGTCCGTCACAGAAGCTCCAATAGTCACATCAGAAAATAAAAGAATAATCTGGCCAAGAGAGCATGTGAAGCAGCTGGTGCCTAAACCCAACGTTCTCGGCTCTGTTTGGCTGACTGGGAGTCAGCTGCTAATTAATTCTTCTCATTAACATGCCAGAGGCAGCAGTTCTGCAGACTGATCACAGAACAGTGACTATTGATCTGTTCCTGCTGCCTGAAGTGGTGCAACCAGCTTGCTAATTAACACGGAGCGGAGGAACGGGGGAAACGGACTCCTTTAGGATTTTAGGCTCCAAATAACATCAAAACTCACAAAAGAGGTTTCAGCCATTTTTGTTTTACAGCTTTGTGTGTTAAAGGTGCCGGAGGACGATGAGGGAAGTTCCTGTATTCCTATCTTACTTTGGATACGTTGGTTGATTTCAACCCTTACAGTCAGGAAACAAAACTACAACATGGGGTTTATTCAGGAAGTGAGCGCCGACTTTTAGCAGTTCTGTGTCATATTCACACAGAGCTGCAAGGAACAGGTGAGTAAACCCCGCCCACTTTCGCGCTCAGGTAGAATTACAGCAGAATCAGTCAGAGTTTTAACGAGGGGCTGAAAGTTGGACTTTACACGACTGACATCTTAACCCTTCATAGATTTAGCTAATCTTGTACAAACAAGCCTCTTAATTCTGCTGCTTTTAGAACAAACACACTGTTTCCTCTCACTCTCCTGTCAGCCCCATGGTTTTCTCTCAGATCCTTTCAGAGTGAACACCCAAGCTGTCACGACTTCAGCCCCATATCACTCCTCCAACTGGGACCCCTCCTCCTAACTACAACCCCCAGCACCACCTGCGTCATCACTCCCAGTCTATATACGGAAGTCTCGCCCTCTCGCCTCTACTCAGCCATCGTTTCAACGATCCGACTCATGAGATTTCGGACTACCAAACTCCCCGACTATCATCGACTCAGAAAGTCAACTCTATTCTACTCTGGAGTATCAGCTCGGCCCTCCCTCTGGTCCGGACCCGCGGTCACTCCTAGATCAAACCGCGTGCCTGTTAATTCCCGACGCTCGCTCTTCTGCGTCTGGGTCATTCAAACACGCTACAGCCGAACTTCCTGGTCTCTCAGTTCACCTGCCAGTCGTCACGCAAGCTTGGATTAAATTAGGTTACACAACGTAGGAACAGTGTGACCATCGACGCCGTGTACTGCTCACGCTTCACCTTTTTAAAATGACTTTCAGGTTTTACACAACGGCTGTTCAGCTAATCAGAATGCTGCTAATGAGTCACTAGTGGTTACCATGCAGACCCTAATGAGTCACCGACAGGAGCTTTAACATTGATTTTCTCGTACTTTAAACATGGGCACTTGTAGCTTCATTTGCTACAATGTTGATGTTGTTAAAATACCTTTTAGTTTACGTTCAGAAGGAAAACTAAGGACTCACCTCACTGACGTGTTCCTTTCTTCTCCTGTTTAGTAGCCATTGCTGATTGTGATTGGTCCTGTCCCCGTCCTGCTTCTTTAAGGAAAGATAAAATAATTCCAATAATCCCTTCATCTGGCCTCCAGTTTAAATGAGCAGTAGAGCTGAAGTGATGTGGGTCAGAGCGGTGGGGAAGAGTCGGCCGCTCCGGCAGCTGAGGTCAAGTGAGAGCTTCCATTCTGATGTAAGAGTGAGAGTTTCTGACTGTACGTGGGCTTTCATCGTTGTTCTTTTCTTAAAGGGGAAGACTGGGGAGTGGGAAGGCTCCTTTGGAAGATCAAAAACATCCTAAGTATTGTCCCGAGGGCAACAAAATCCAGTATTCGGGGGAAACAAGGTCGGAAGAGAGCCCCTTCCCCAAAAGGTCCAAACAAACCCACAGAAAGCCATCCCAGCACCAGCAGCCTCCCCAGAAACAGCCCTCGACCTCTCGGAGAGCTTCTACCTGACAGGTGGGAGCCTCCATCTTGTCTGAGAGATGTCAAACAGATCCAGCAGAGAGAAGAAACATGGTGTCCAGGACAGTCTGCGAGTCCCGCAGAAAGAATTTCATTTAAAGGAAACACAGTCACAGGAAATCCAAAAGATCTGCTCCTCCGATTGTTCCACAAATAAAGAAAAAACAAATAAATTTTGCCCCAAAATGAGGAAGAAATGTCGGATCGCCCCCACATTCCACTCTCCTCCGTCCTTCCGAACCTTTAAAGGCACTCCAGATTGGTCTCTCGGAAGAAAATTTTCAGCCGTCCGTCCATCCATTCAATGCTGCTGCAGAGTCCTGCTCTTAAAAAAGGTGAAGTAAAGGTCAGTTTCTTGGGGAAAAAGTGCCCTTTTAGCCACGTTTTTTCAACGTCTTCTTTTCTTTCAGGTCAAATTTAAAGTGCATGGATGAGGTAAACTATTAGTTCATAGTTTTGTGTCTTTTTAAACTTTTTTTTATCGTGTTCTTTCATACAAAATGTCTTTTTAACGGGTTTTTCTGACTTTTTCTCAGACAGGGACCATTCTGCCTTGAATCTGCTGCATTTGGGACAGCATACTCTGGACACTGGTCAGGATCTTGTTCTGGTGTGCTGCTGAGGAAATGCCTATCTGGGCCATGTCCCTGGGAAAGGACAAGGAGAAGGATGCTTTAGGACCAACCACCACATACGGAGGGCTGATGTTACCAACAGAGTTTCTGTTTCATTCAAACACACACACACCTGGTACGAGAACACAACTAAAGAAATGCTACAAACAAGTAATAATGCCCGTCAGAAGTTGGACACAGATGCATTTGTTTTTAGAGTTTTATCAACAATTTCCCGTCAGGAGAACGTTTCCCCTCCATGCTACATTTACAGGTGTTACTCACTCCTGAGTCATGTGAACCACAGCTTCTGGACTGGTGTAGCCAGCTGCAGTGAAGTTATTGCGGTATCGCTCCATGCCGATGACCTGCAGCCAGTCCTCCACAGTCCCTGCTGCTGAAGATGCCTCAGGGCTCCCAGGCTCCAGCAGGGTGGCGTTGGGCCTGCAGTGGATGCAGAAAAGAAAGGGTTAGCTGTTTGAGGTGGTGTCTGAACTTTAGATCATAAACCCAAACTATGAGGGGCATATCATGGAAAACCCACTTTTGGGGGCTTTTAACCAAGTGGTATTGTTATTTCCTCAGGAAATATACCCCCAAACCCATGGTGGCTGCATTCATGCCTTTTCCTGTCTCAGCTACAAATTTTCAGATTCTTTGGAAAAGAAACTAAGTGCACCATCAGACCTTTCTCCTCCCCCTAAAGCTAGTCTCAGATCTGAAACCTGCCCCCCCTGGAAGTAGGTCACCAACACCTACATTGTCCTAGTTGTGGGCACAAAGCGGTTGATTTCATGCTGCAGTTCAGAATGTGTACTTCATGTCACAGATGACTGCTTCAAACCAGAGTGGATATTCTGACAATTTACTTCTGCGTTGGGAACAAAATACCACCATAAAAACCTTGCATCCACAAAGACTCCTGGAACGGCCAGCACAGGCAGCGGTTCTGTAACAGACTTGGTAGCCCAGTGCATAGACGGACTACCCGGCACGTAGCTTTGCACAGGTTTTTTCTACGTTTTGCTGTGCTTGCTAGTAAGACGTTTTCAACCCTTTATTGGTGACCTGTTTAAAATACAAGGGCGAACATTTTATGTGCTTTTAGCCGGTGTGAGTCCATTTGAGGTGAGCAGAGTAAATCAACTAAAATGCTGCTTGGAAACGACCACATTGAAAGATCTTTAGAGACACGAAATATTTTGTAGAAAAAAATAAGAAAAACTAAAGTATAAAAACTTGAAATCTGCTTCAGCTGGCTAAAAAATGACTGGCCACACCGGGAGTGAGACCGGCTCCAGGGCCGGGTGAAACAAGACGAAAGGCAGATGTTGTAACTGCTGGTCTACCAAGGCTAGCGCCACAGCAGGCTGGCCTAACCCCGGCTGCACACCGAAAGCATCAGCGATGCGGAACGGTTTACTCGCAACAACCGCTGCACTCCAGGGCACACCAGGAGTCTCAGCAGTGAAGCAGCTTCTTTGCCGTGCTCCTCGCTCGACTCGTGAGATCACACAATCCCCCAAGACTTCAGAGGTTACGGTTTGTTTATGCAATCCACCATTAAACCAAAAAGAAGGAAATCACGTTTGATATCACGGTTTGACGTCATCTATGATGTTGTTCCTCTCCACTACAGGATTAAAGCCATAAAAACACACCGCTGCACTTGTGGAACGATGTTGTGAGTAAATGAGTCGTTGGGTCACACGCATCGTACATATGACAAAGCATCGCTGCAATACTTTTATTTTGAAAATTACCAGGGATTTTACACTGAAACAGTGTGTGATTTCCTGTCTATGTTAACTGCAGTAATTGGCGCATCCCAGAAGCGGCTCGCGGCAAAAATAGAACCAGATCCTATTGTAGCGGCGTGGTGCGGTGTGGTGTGGCGTGCCGCTTCTTGGACACTAATTGCTGCATCGCTTAGAAGATAATGGATTGTATTTGTAAAGGTGCCGTTCCGCGCCGCTGATGCTTCCAGTGTGCAGTAGGAGTAAGAAGCTGTAGTAGGAGAGTTTTGTCAGAGCGGGCGTGGGCGGAGCTTCACTGAAACTAACCCTTCAGGATGATGAAAATAACTCGTATTTAAGATGAATGACACCTCAAAAGTGCCAACGGTAAGATTTGATCATAAATTGTGCCTACCTTTGCTCTCAAAGCTTTAAAATAGCATGGCCCCTTTAAAGCTTTGAAAGTTTGTTTTTCCATTTAGACTTAGATAATTACCACGACAACCGCAGCACAGAGAAAATATTTGTCTCATTCCTAACTCTCCAGCCATGTTGTGGCTAAATAAACCTTGTGCGGTGAGACAGGAACCCCCGAGCTGTAAAGAGCGCCACGCTACATTTCTCCTCAGCGCTTCCTCTTTGAGCAGAACAACATATCTGCCAGGCTTGCCTCTGTTTAGCGTCCTGATGTGCAGGTGCCCTCGGAGACTGGTCCAAGTCAAACGCGGCTCCTCTACAGTGTGATGACACAGATAGTTGCTCTTTATTGAAAGAAAACACACGAGCCGAGCACACCTCGGCGAACTTTACAGCACGGCCGAGTCTCGCTTTCAACCCAGTCGTTCTCTTTCGCTGCTCTTCTGAGTGAAACATTAACACGGGGTTGGAAACTCAGAGGGGATTTTCAGAGAGCAGCTCTCTCCAGAAGAAAGAAGTGCTTTCATCAGGAGCCGGGTATGGTCCCAAGGAAACCAGCGACCAATGACAAAGCTGTGAGCGTTAGGTTTCACATCTTCAACTGCCCTAATAAAGCCACTTCCTGTAACATATCAGTGTGAGCAACAACAACACGATCACTTTGAATGAAAATATCTCAGGAGGAGGGCTGTTCTCTGTAATTTCAGGTGAGATTAAAGATGGTGAATTGATTACTGATCATAACGAATGAATCTCTGACCGCAGTCAACAAACTGGCTCCCTGCACCGCCATTCTGTGTAGCGGGGGTGTCTAAGGTGTGGCCTGCGGGCCTTTTGTAGCCCGCAGAGGGATTCTGTTTAGTTGCTGGCTGAAGTTCCAGACATTTGTCCTGTAAGCGCAGGCAGTAGATGCAGATACACACGTTTATATGGTAGGCGTTTTAATAATAAGGGGCCTGATGTAACTAATATACTGGTGAAATATTTCATGATCTCTCCGTGGAAAAGGTTAAGAGCTGACCCAGCTCTACAACGGGAACCGTGCTAAAACCTTCTCAGGTGCCAGCATGTCAGAGTCCCCATCAAATCATCTCTGCTCGTTAGGTGAAACAGATTACACGCAGGCGTCTTCTACCTGCAAAAGTCACTTTTATAGGACTCAGTCCTAATTACTCCACCAGGACTTCCTGGTCCCATTAGGAGTGCGTGCGCGGCGGTGCGACCCACTCGTGCGTGCTCACACGCTCGTTAAAGTCAAACAGACTCCTGCTGCTCTGTGTTGCGTCTGTAAACACACACAGGTCACTGCTAACACGTTCAGCTGCTGGGGAGCCCTGGGGTCGTGTTTGTTTTTAATTTGGCGTTTCAGCGTAACTCTCCGCTCCCTGTAGGAACGGCTGCATTCCTGGGTGTCCTGGGCTTTCGCAGCTCATCCATTAGAGGGGCAAACGTGGAGAAAAGCAATGCAGTTTGATAGATAACGTGCAAAGAGCGAGGAAATAAAGTAGTAAACATAAATTTATATAACTATACAATCCATTTTACTGCACTTTGTGAGTGTAGCAATTAGCTTCGGATGAATTAGTTGCTTCTTTAAACCAACAAACAACCAAACTGCCCCGTTGCATTTTTTAAAGGTCTCTTTTATATTTTGCACACAATAAATTCAAGCTGAAATGTTGCTGTAAGGACCGCAGGCAGAGCTGACGGGGAGTTGTGGAGCAAATCCTAAAATATTTTTGTCTGGTTTTTCATCTTGTGCTCCACTACAGTGAGTCCCAGTGATCATCAGCCTTCTACTGAAGTAAAAGTACACAATATGTAGACTTTATTTAGTTAAGCAATGAAGCGGTTGTGTCTGCAGCACAAAAACAAGCCTGAAAAACTGTTGTTGTTGTCACTGAAATGCCCAGGCCCAGAGGTAAGGTCAGAGCCGTGGTTCATGGTCTAAACACAGTTTAGTAGCATCTTCTTTACCTGACAGTGGTCTCTCCTCCGGTTCTCTTCAGAGTGCTGGGGTTGCGGATCAGTTTGTCCAGCATGTTGACAATCTGTCCAAACTTTGGCCGGTCTGCCCTCTCCCGCTGCCAGCAGTCCAGCATGAGCTGGTGGAGAGCCATGGGGCAGTCCATGGGCGGGGGCAGCCTGTAACCCTCATCGATCGCCTTAATCACCTGGACAGGAAGCGTGAAAAACATTTAAAAAGAGAAAATCACCTTACGGCATCTGTGCAAAACACCAGATTATGCAAAAACAGACACTCCATTCCGGCAAATCGGTGCAATATTACCGCAACGGTGTGCCTTATAAATGCACCATGCCGGCATGGCGATGCACAAATTTTGTTCTGCCTCGCTTGGTAGTAATGTCGCAGTAACTGTCTGTCTTAAACAGCAATCGCACTTGGTGCAACAGAGGGAGGTGCCATGAGCACGTGGGGAGTTACTGCCGAGCTCCGGCCGGATACTACAACGCAGAAGAAAGTAAACGTGAGCCGTGGGTTTTGCTTTTGTGAACAGAATCAGCTGAGATTATAAACTGGAGTAATGCAGAGCTCCAGGAGCTTCTCTCAGTTAGCGCTGGAGCTCAGATCACCAGAAACTGCATGGGGACGCCTTTAGGAGCAGCTTGTTAAAGAAGTTAATGAGCACGGCTTCGATCGCATTAAAAAGCAAGTTATGTCCAAGATAAATGGAAGTCCGCGGCAGGGCAGGGACCACCCCCATACCCCCTTAATGCCGCCGTCATCAAATCGTTTGTAAAAAGGTGTTGAGGGTCTGACCTCATGAGGAAATTACTATGCAGTGATTTTCTCCAAAATGACTGTGCTTAAATTGCTCTGGAAAGCAAATAATCACATCAGCGCCAAGAAACTTCATTTCCCATGATGCTTTGCACACGGAAGCAATGGGTGATGTTACCGCCTAGTACCAGAAACACGTTCTGCGCATGTGCGGGAAGCCGTGGAGCTTTTCCCGCGAACTAAGACCATAAATCTTCAGCAGAGACAAAGAAACCTCGTTCTTTTGCCCAGGATACCTGGCGGTAAGGACACGCTTATCGAACGCTCCGATTCCCTTGAGCACGCGGAAGCTCTAAGTGCCCAAGTTGAGGACACAGAACGGCGGAGGAAAGCAACAACTCCATCCAGCTCTCTGAGACGCTGTAAGTTGTCAAACTCAGCACAAAAGAAACTTCGTTCTTTTGCCCAGGATACCTGGCGGTTAGGACACGCTTGTCAACGCTCCGACAACTTGAGCACGCGGAAGCTCTAAGTGCCTGAGTTGAGCCCACGGAACTGCTGGAAACTAAACTGCAAGCCCATCAGATCTGCTCGTTTCTGCTCCCCTCCAGCTGATGTTTGAGGACACAGAACTGCGGAGGAAAGCAACAACTCCATCAAGCACGCTGTAAGTTATAACTCAGCACAGAAAGAAACTTTGCTGTCTCTGTCCAGCCCGTGGAGAAACACTCGTGAACGCCAAACAACGGAGAAAGCATCAAACCGACGGACGACGCTGAAAACTGCGGAGAAAACGGAGAACCGTCAAATCATAACAGCGGGGACGCCTTGCTGCTTTGGTGATCAGAAAACTCATCTCTTTCTCTCTCTCCTTCTTCTTCCGTTAACTCTATAGTCCAGAATAAGCAATAAAACCGCGCTATTGCTTAAAAAGTAGCTTCGTGTTTTCCTCTTTCGTCCCAAACACGTCCGTCGGGTCATTTTGAAAGAATAAACTGCTTATTGATCATTGTTTGGTATCTTAAAATGGTTTCTGTCATGGCCAGGCTGAAACTAAAAGATATTAATTTGTGATTAATCTTTTGTGTTGTTTCATGATCTTTTGAAATGTTTTGAGTGATTTAAGGTTAAGTTACTACTGATTCTAAGTGCTTTGGAAGTTAAAGTGCAAGTTGCCACCCACACTTTAGCCAGACAAAGGGGTCAGCCATCTTGTATTCAAGACTCCATTTTGAATCCATACACACGCACACACACACACACACACACACACACACACACACACACACTACTCCTTTGTGAGAACAAAGGACCCCATTCATACATCCTCCATCACATGCAAACACATCCATCTTCAATCATATCACACGGTTATTATTCATCTATTCCACTGTTTATTCATTTGACAAATTGTTAATTAAACGTTATAAAATTCAGATTTTCGTCTCCAGTAGCTTTGTTGTGTCGAAGAGAAGTCTCTGCTCCAAGGATTCTACGAACTTCAAGAAAGACTGATAAGAGTTTTGGATTCAATTTTTCCCCGGAAAAAGGGGAATGGTGCCCCGTATATCTAAGAATATCTTAATTAATTAATAAATCAGTAAATATTCCCATATTTACAGAATTTATTGAAGAATCCAAAAGTAAGTTGAAGCTTACGAATTGTTCGCTCCTAATAACCCCAACAAAGGACACGATGGCACAACATTTCCGCCACAGTCTGACCACTGACCACTAACACACAACCTAAGGCTAAGGCAGCCACGGCGGTGCGTCAAATTGACGGCACTGTTTCGTAAAAACGGCTGCTGTTACCGCGGGATCTGACATCGCTGACAGAACGTTACTCTAATGATCCAAATTGAAGCTTGTTTGTGACCTTTAGCATATGAAGACTTACATCCTGGTTGCTCATGTCCCAGTATGGGCGCTCGCCGTATGACATCACCTCCCACATGACGATGCCATAGCTCCATACATCACTGGAGGAAGTGAACTTCCTGTAAGCGATGGCCTCGGGGGCCGTCCAGCGGATCGGGATCTTTCCTCCCTGTAATTGAATGGTGGGTTGATTAATTAAAGCAGACAGACTCGCACACACACACACACACACACACACACACACACACACACACACACACACACACACACACACACACACACACACACACACACACACACACACACACACACACACACACACACACACACTCACCCTGGTGGTGTACGCTGCCTCCGGGTCATCCTCCAGCACTCGAGACATGCCGAAGTCAGACACCTTACACACCAGGTTGCTGTTGACCAGGATGTTGCGAGCTGCCAGGTCACGGTGAACGTAGCTCATATCTGACAGGTACTTCATACCAGACGCAATACCACGCAGGATCCCAACCAGCTGGATGACTGTGAAGCGACCGTCGTTCTTCTGTACAAAAACATCCATTAAACGCTAAAGAAAAACTCATTCTTATGAGCAGAATGTTTAGATACAGCATGAAACATACGGTCGTTAGATCACTTACAGCGACGGGGGCTGGGTCGTGGATCGTTCTGCTACTTTCTTCTACCACTGCTCTCCAGCTACACGGTTATTTAAACTGTTAACTATGTTTGCTAAGTGTTTTCTCTCCAGAGACGCTACACTAGGCCCGGCCCTCTGAGGGGTGTGATGCCTTCCTGTTAAAGATGACTTTTCCTCTCCACTGTCGCTGCATGCATGCTTTGTATGTGGGTTGCTGCAAAGTCAGTGACTGGGTTTCCACTAATTAGAAATATGAACTGAAGTAGATGAAGTGTAACAACTAGGCTCAATTGGAACATTTGCTTTGTAAAGTGACTTGAGATGACTTGTGTTATGAATTTAGATTAAACTGAGTTTATCTACCACTTTAATAGCTGATACTTATTACCTATTTTACTTGCACAATGCGTACTGAGTATGCGTCTACATATATACTACCATTGTATTTAGTGTCTTACTTTAACTTTTATTCTTAGTGACTCTTGTACTCTTTCGCTATCTGTGCTGAGCTGTAGTAAAGCACAAACCTCCCTGCTGTGGGATCAATACAGTCTCATCTTAAAGGTTGGTTTAGGCTTGACGCGTCCGCGAGGTCCGCACGGCTCCACGCGGAAAAGTAGCGTTTTAACAACCACGCCCCCTCCACCGCGCCTCCGCACGGCCCAAAATTTCCGCGACGCGCACCTAGGAAATTTTCTAACCACGCGGACGGACGCGGAAAAACATGGCGGACCGGCAAGAACTAGTATGGCAGAGGTTCGTAAATACAGACATTTGTATGATTCAGCTCTCAGAGATCACCGTGATCAACGTGTTGTTAGTAATTCTTGGAGAGAAATAGCTCGCACTGTCGGAAAAGACGAGGACGCTGTTAAAAAATGCTGGAATGCCATGTTGTAAACAGTAATTTCTACTATGGTGTAGTGTTGGATGCATGCCGTAGAGCTCCATGCTGCCCCCTACAGTTTGGGAGAATATTGGATCACCGCAGAGACAAGCCGCATGAACCATAAACGCTGCGAGCCGCATCACCAAGCGGAAAGTAAATGCGTCAAGCACAAACCAAGCTGAAGTAAAATCCTCAGTAAAGAAAATCTACATAAAAACTAAAAACCTTTGTGGTTGTTTTCATACAGTGGTCTCCTGTGTATTTTATTTTGAAATCTGAGCAATTACTGTTTTACGTCAGTCTGAAGTTAGATATAGTACTGCATTACTCGTAAAAACACGTTAGTAGATCGTGTTAGGATGAACTAAGACTAAGATTCTAAGCAAGTGGAAGGATGTTTTAATGACTTTTAAAAGCTAAGAAGCTTTTAGTTGTAACATCTGCCCGTTCTGTCTTCACATTCATGTTTCAGATGCTTTTGCAACAATCTTATGTTAAAGTGACTCAAATGATATTTTTTTGCATGCAAACACAAAAGATCTTCAACTTCTAACTTCATACTTTCTCATTTAACTTTCAGTAACCCCTCCCACCCCCATCATATGATCACTGATGAAGAAGGTTATTACCTTCATGTAACTGACACAGATCTTAACATTCATGTTCACAAACCTTCTTTATTGCTATGAAATTGTATTTGATCTGTTTTTAACACAGTTGCTTAGTTTTTTCCTAGGTCTAATGTTCCTCTCCCGTCAGATCCTGCACATTGTCAGGCATCGGTGAAAACTCAGGTGTGAGGAACCACAAGCCAAAGGTGAACCCAGCAGAGCAACCCCAAAACCCAGAGAGCCTGTGAGTCGATCAAAGTGTTTGTGAACCGACGCTTGTTACTTCAGCGGATGACATTAAACAGATTAGATAGCGATCGTTCTGCACATAAACACACGTGTGTGCACACAGACGCGCATGACTGACCCTCAGGAATGCATCCAGCGATCCGTTTTCCATGTACTCCGTGATAATCATCACTGGCTTACCTAGAGGGTGAGAGAGAGAGAGAGAGAGAGAGAGAGAGAGATCACCAACACACATTCAGAGGTATCACCAACAGAACAGCACATTTTGTGTTGATGCAAATATTAACTGGATGCATTACACAAAATCCAATCTCCCACAATCTCCCAGACTCTCTTTTTACATCCCTGATTGCCCCTTTGCCCTCTCTCTCATTTGTCAAATTTCAAGGCATCTGTCACTCTCAGCTTGCTCTTCTTCTTCCCTCCTCCCCTCCTTTGCTCACCCTCTCCAACTCCCCAGAACCTGGCCACTCCTCTCTGGCCTTTTGCACCCCCGCTCCCCGTCTTCCTCTTTTTGTGTCTCTGATGGGAGCGTCTGTCTAAGAGTCTGAGTTGGGGCAGGCAACGGTTTGGATGGATATTCCCTGGTGGGTTTTCTGAGGTTGAGTAGGATGGGATGGGAAGAAAAGAGAAGGAAAGTAAGAAATAAACTATGACCAACTGGTTTGTGTTCATCCCAAAATGGCAGCTAGCTGGTGCCCAACCAGCCGTGGTGACAACACATGTCATGTCTGTCCTAGGAAAGCCTTCTCCTTTGTGTTAAGGTGGACTTACAAGCTTATTGCTTTGCAGATTTAAAACTGCTGATTGGAGGAGGAACATGCTTGTGTTCCTTTACAGGAACGCAACAGAAATCCAAGCTAAGGTGAAGTTCCTCCACCATTTCAAGAGGCAGCCACCTTACTCATAGAGTGATTGGCACCCCATTAATTACGGGGGAATCCAGTGATGCCACAAAAACAGGAAGTTGAGCTGAAGTCGGGCATTCTGTGGAGCCCTTTTTGTCAGCCATCTTTGTTCCCTTTGTTGTGCACCCTTGCTCTAGGGCAGCTTGTGATTGACAGCTTTGCAATCAAGTCTGAGGAGTGTCTGACCTGCGACTTTAAACTCTCGCCTTCACAACCCCACCCTCTTCCCTCCAGCTCCATTTGCATGCTAATGCCTTGTTTGGTGAATGCACCCTGCTGCCTTTGGCATTGAACCCCAGGGAAGAGGTGCATCAGTGGGCCGATTATCACCTGCCAACCCAACAGTGGAGTCTGGGGAAAATGCTAGCTGGGGGAACTTTGGGGCCAAATGTTCTCTGAAAGCCCAGGCTTTTGCAATAAAAGCAAGATCGGCTTTTAGGAGTAGGTCCTTCTATTTAATTAGTATTTTCTCACTATATGTAAATCAGTTCTTATACATATCACCTCTAATGTCAAACTCTAATGGAGGCTGCATTTTAACTGCACATGACAGAAACATTAAGTGTATGCCTGACTGAAGATGGTGAACTGCAGCCTGCAGGGTTCGGAGACAGATCTTTGCACATTTATGTACTTTAGAGTATATTTGGACTTCCTCCATTATTAATAAGCCTTAATTGGCTCTGTTGGACACGCCAGCAAACTGAAGCCAGATTAAGAATTCCTTTTAAGTTGGTTGAAATGGAGAGTGGAATGCAATTGAAATAATGGACTTTTAATAGATTTCACTGACACCCTCAAGTGTGAAGGACCCATTTACTCGAACCTCGCAGAAGTGGAGTTATCAGATGCCCCCTTGCTTTGGCTTTCATGTCAGCTTCTGTCACTGCTGCGCCGCCGATCTGCTTGTCTTTCATGTCTCTGCTTTGTCTCGCTCTGTGTCTTCCTCTTCAAGCCAGTTCAGTTATTCCAACACCGCCGCCTGCTTTCTCTGTTTGTTGTTTGTCTTTCCTCCCAACCATAAACTCCTAACCGCCTCCCTGTCTCTCCCTCTCGGCCTCCGTTTGTAACTTCCATGCTTGCCACTTGTGTCCCGTTTCTTTTTCCGTCCTCCTCCTCTTGTCATCTGTACAGCCATTCCTTCTCGCTCCATCTCCTCAACGTCTGGCAGGTCATGTGATGTGATGTTAGGTGATACGCAATTCTACCTGTGCTGCTGTTCACCTTCAGCTCTGGCTGGAAAACATGTCTGTTTGGCTCACGTATGTCGAATATGTGTGTGTGTGTGTGTGTGTGTGTGTGTGTGTGTGTGTGTGTGTGTGTGTGTGTGTGTGTGTGTGTGTGTGTGTGGTTGTGTGTGTGTGTGTGTGTGTGTGTGTGTTTGAACATCCGTGTGTGTGAAGCCAATATGTACAACAGTGGTGGAGACAACATTATCTGGCACTGACATGGCCGGGCTGTTGTGTCTTCATGCATTAAGGCACCTCATCCATCTAGCCATGGCTGGCTATCAGCCACAGTAACACACATGCATGAAACCAAAGTGCTGGACACACACACACACACACACACACACACACACACACACACACACACACACACACACACACACACACACATTCAACTATCGTCTAACAAATGCCACCATGGGTAGGTGTAAAGAGAGGGAGTGCAGAGAGAGAGCGAGTGCACCGAGGACAGAAGTGGGGAGTTTTAGCCGGTGTTGTGTGACCATGCAAAAGCAGATAGAGGAGGGATAGGGTATCACTCCCTAACCCCAAACACATTTACAGCTGACACCATGATTAATGAGTCTAGAGCTGCGCTAGAGGGCCTGTTTCTGCACCCCCATTAGACGAACCCTCCCCCTCCACGTCTCCCAAATGCCCAGCAACCTCTAAAGCCTGGTTTATGCTTCTCCGTCAGCTCCGCAAGGGACAGACACGCACGGATTGACGGAAGCGTTTTGCTCTCATACTTCTCCGTCTCCTGGGGAGTGTTGCAAAGCAATTCCCCAGCAGGACCACAGAGGGCGTAGCGCTGTTCTGTGGTATCCTGTCATGTATCGGTCCAAGATAGAGTGTTTATATTGTGTTTTTTGTGTATAGAAGAGACTTTTAACACAGACATATTTGTCTCTCATTCTCCCACCACTTCATGCGCTCCCCACCTCTAAACCCACGTTTCCTGTCATTTCCGTCCACAAATAAAACGCTTGCTGCGCATCTTTTCACTTCTCCAGTCACGGGAGGATGAAACGTTCATATTTTTAGAGTTTTTTCGCGAGGTGTTCTTCAAGCTTCTCCGTGTCTGCCGCTAGTTATCCTCGGCTCTCTTTGCAATGGCGGCGCTGTAAACAACAGCGGCATCCTGACCAATCACAAGCTTGCGTAATCCGTCTCGTTCGACGGATGTTTAAAAAAGTGGGCTCGACTCCGTACGTACTTGCGTGCCTGCCGGAGCCCTACGCAAGGACGGATAATGGCGTTGCGTGTCTCCGCACTGACGCAGACGGAGAAGCATAAATCGGGCTTAACTCTACTGCCCCCACACTGCCAGTGTTGGACCTTTTCCATCTGGTCACCTACAAATACCATCTATGAGACGTTTGAAATCCACACATAGAACCTTATTGCACAATCTGTCATACAGTCGAATAGAAGCCACCAATTACTAATGATACCTTTCACCTTCCTAAGGCAGCAGCAGCCAACAGGCAGCCAGAGAGCTGCATCTTTCTGGCTTGTGAGCAACATTTAGTGGCCCCAAGCTTTAATTCTGTCTTGGTATTCATGTTGCCGATGCAAGGCAGCATGGTGTTGTATGCACAGCTCGTCACTGATGACCTGCAGCGTGTGCTTCAAAGGTTCACTCACTCAGCAGTGAGAGTTTAGCATAGTCCCCCTCCACCCACCCCCCACCCCCACACACACACAAAACACTCTTGTTCATTTACTAAACATCTCACAAACCATGTGATGAATTTCTGTGAAACTCTGGGAATGCTTTATTGAATGATATATTGTTTACAGTGGGATGCAAAAGTTTGGCAGCCTTGTTAATCTTCAAGATTTTCCTTAAAAAAATCGTTGGTTGTTACGATAAAAACTTGACGCACTTTACACAAGGAGATGCTGCATGTGAGAGTGATGCAGAGGAAGCCCTTTCTCCTCCCACAGCACCAACAGAGCTGATTGAGGTTTGCTAAAGAACATTTGGACAAGCCAGCTTCATTCTGGAATAAGGTGCTGTGGACTGAAGAAACTGAGTTATTTGGGCAGAACAAGGGGCGTTACTCATGGAGGAAAAAGAACACAGCATTCCAAGATAAACAACTGCTACCTACAGTAAAACATGGTGGTGGTTCCATCATGCTGTGGGCTGTGTGGCCAGTGCAGGGACTGGGGATCTTGGGATGCATGGATTCCACTCAATATCAGCAGGTTCTGATGATCAATGTCCAGGAATCAGTGACAGCACTGAAGCGGCAGCGGGGCTGGATCTTTCAACAAGACAACAACCCTTAACACTGCTCAGCATCTACTAAGACGTTCATGTAGAGGAACACGTAGAACATTCTGGAACGGCCATCTTAGTCCCCAGATCTGAATATGACTGAAAAGCTGTGGTGTGAGTTAGAGAGAGCTGTCCATGCTCAGAAGAAGCAGACCTGAATGAACTAGAGATGTCTTGTAAAGAAGAATGGTCCAAGATACCTTCAGCCAGAATCCAGACTCTCATTAGAAGCTACAGGAAGAGTTTAGAGGCTGTTATTTCTGCTAAAGGAGGATCTACTAAATATGGACTTCATTTCTTTAAACTTAGTTTCACATTTGAAATATCAATGTGTGTGTCTCCTAAATTATATATTTAACTTAAATGTTTTATCGTAACAACCAACAATTAATACAAGAAAATCATGAAGATTAAAGCCTAGTTTATGCTTCCGCGTCGGCACGGAGACACGCAACGCCATTATCCGTCCTTGCGAGCCTGCTGGAGAGCCCTCACAAGGACGGACGGAGTTGAGTTCTGTTTTCTAAACATTCATCAAACAAGGCGGAGAATGCAAGCTTGTGATTGGTCAGGATGCCACTTTCGTCAATAGTACCGCCATTGCTCCCTCAAAAACAATGATATCTAGCGGCAGCCCCACCCCGTGTCGAGTCTACACTTTCCGATCTGAAATCTCTGCAGCAGAAACCGTCTGAAAGAGGGAGGGCTAACTGGTAGAATGTTTTGAGCTGATTGAAGGACGTGCAAGGTAGTGCCCGGCTGGCACTGGCTACCGTATTTTGTCTTTAGCCAATCGCAGTAACTCAAATGTCGTTCACCATGTGTGCCTGGAAAACAACAACAACAACTTGCTCAAACTTCATCTATTCACTCACGCAGAAATTACCATGTCTTTGGGTGATTTCTGCCAGTTTTGCGAGAAGATTATGCGCATAAATTGCAGGACTTCCCCTAGCGCTTTTACAGACTTTGCTTGGTCGACGGCCAGACTAAGCGTGCCCCCTCCCCAGCCCTACCTTCTTCGCTGTCACGGACAACGCGAAGCAGCGAAGCGAACCAGGGGCCTCCCCTCTGCTGATACTGATGAGAGACGGTAGCGAAGCAATCCCTCGACCACCCACCCGCGCTCTCATGGTCCGGCCCGCAAGGCTTATCAAGTTTTCTGGGGAAAACCCTGAAGGGTGTTTTAAGTCACACAGTTATGTTATTCAAAGCTACATCGACCCAGCAGACATCCGGACGTTTAATGACCAAACAAAACAGCCTCAAACTGAGACGTTCTGCCATGGTTGAAAAATAGTTTGGTGGTCTGACAGTTTGAACTGGAGCGTTACAAGATGGATTCTCCTGAGTTTGGAAGACTCCAAATCTCACGAGAATTACTCTTGTAGCGCAAGGTTATAGATTCAGTCCTTTTACTAATAACTGAAACTGTTGTGAAAACAGGAGTATAATTCATGCAGAACCCACATTTGGTGACCACACCCTCCAGGTGGATGATATTGGGATGATCAAACTGGCCCATGATGCTGGCTTCGGACAGGAAGTCCCTTCGCTGCTTGTCGGTGTAACCGGCCTTCAGCGTCTTTATGGCCACGCAGATCTCTCTCTTGCCCGGCATCTTCAGTCGGCCACTGCAGACCTCACCAAACTCCCCTGAGAACACATAAGCTGCACTGAAAATTCAATGATGCACAAGCAGACGGATCCACTGACAATAAATCAGGACCAAATGGCCCGTGTTTGTGTGCAAAGTTGTGCAGGGTTCCACTAGACATTGATCAGGGTCTCTAATCCCTCCTGCTCTTATCCACTGGACCAGAAAAAGCAGGAAATGGATATTGATTATTTTGCTTTATTATTTTGTCATTGAATGACTTTACTCAAGCCAGAGGAATAGCACGGACAACATCTTTAGCTTCTGCTGATTCATTTCTTGAAGACCCATCTGGAGGTATACCAAACAGCGTTGTCTTGGAATACAGTGTGTTTAATATTTGATGTCCTCGTGTTACAGCAAACAGGTTACTGGGAAAGAAATCTCACCGATGCCAATGACTTTCTCAATCTTGATACAGGATGCGTCTATCTCTTTGGCGAACTCCCTGACCGCCTGATTTGGATCCTCGTAGGTGAAGGGGTCAACATAAATCCTTACTCCTGAGAAAAGTGTAAAGGAAAGATGGAAGGAAGGAAGAATAGAAGAGGGAGGTTTATTCGTGCCAGCAACTCTACTCCAAACTCCCCATCTGGTCTTTATTTTCATCATGCTGGAGGCTACACCTCTTTCCTTTCTGGATCTCCTCCTCCTCTTTTCCTCTCTCCATACCTTACTTCACACTGGGACTCCATTGCTTTTTATGCCACTCTGGCTGAATCCAGTGAAGATGGAGCTCATTACCTTGAAATTCTTGATGCATGCAAATAACAATGCTGATGACTTGATAATGAGGTGTTTGAAACATGTTAGCAAGCAAGCACATTAAATTCAGAATAGTTTTCTCCCCATTATATGGGCTCCATTTGCAGTCTGCAGAGCACACGAGCACACCTGACAGCTCTAATGTATCTCAGTTATAGAGAGCGTGGATGGAGTGTAAACTACAAGTTACCTTGATGCAAGTGTTTCTCTTCATCAGAGTCCTGCTTGGCCTTGCTGTACTTACTCCTTCTGGGGGCAAAGAAGCAGTAAAGTCAGGGTCAAACCAAAAGGCAAAGACTGAAAAGACATGGATCATTATAGCGTAGCTCAGGTGTGCAATAGAAAGGAACAGAAACCAGAACACATCCCTGCTGAAGGAACCAGCATATGTTGTGTTTTGGTGATAGGACGCTGGACCACCAGCTGAACCATCACCAAAACACAACATATGCTGGTTAACACCTACGTTGGGCTTTGCTGGTTTCTTCAGCAGGGATTAGTTGTCGAAAGAGAAAAAATAAAAACATCTGTGAAAGTCTTCTGACCACAGTTTAATGAGACGTTATCATTACAGAGGAGCAAATTGAACATTTTAATAAGTTTTATGGCAAAATTACTACATTTGTAACAAAAAAATTCCCATTAGCTTTAGAGTCTTAAGAGAAGGTAGAGTGTCTGCCCTGGGACTGGGAGATCGGGGTTCAAATCCTCGTCCGGTCATACCAAAGACTTAAAAAATGGTACCCAGTGCCATCCTGCTTCACACTCAGGTTTAAGGAGTTGGATTGGGGGATTAAACCACCAAATAGTTGCTGAGCGCAGCCACAGCTGCAGCTCACCACTTCCCACGGGGATGGGTCAAATGCTGAGATGATTTTCACCAGTGTGTGATGACTACTGTGACATTAACTTTAGGATGGGATAGACAAAAGGCTAGTTAGCTAGCATTAAGCCTGATGCTAACACAGGTGTCAGCGGTTTGAAAGTTCATGACTCAGAAATAAACTAAATCAAAACTACAAGTTTGAAACAAACTCTGGGATGTGCCGCACCAAAACGCAAGTTAATTAGCTTAAGTACGTAGCTTGTAGCAGTTAGCTGAACATCAAAGGAAAAATTCAAAGCCAATTCCTGGCAAATATGCTTAAATAACAAGCATAAATTGAATATTGTTTGTTGCATTTAAAATAAAGCTTGTGGATGCGCCAGCCAGGACTGCTCATTGTGAATCAAAGCCTGGACAACCAGGTCCAGATTCAGGCTTTTAGCTAGGCACTTAAGACTTGTGCCCGTCTTCTATCACTAAACAAAATGATTCTTCACGCGACTTACAGTTTTATATTCAAGAAAAACAATATCAATATAGATATGTATCTCTAATTATAATTAGGGATGTCCTGATTAGCAGTTTGGGCTTCTGATCCCGATCCAACCTTTTAACTTCAAATCCGATCCGATTTCCAGTCCCGATCCGATAGTTTGCCTTTACTACTGAAATTTATAAAGCTGAAACACATTTTTAGTAAGTAACTCAAGTTAACTTTCTAAGACTAATTTCATTAATAAGCATAATCTGTAATGATTCCACCCTGTTCTGCCTCGCCTGTCATGTTCGGTTTTTCCTTTCTGCCAGTCCTCCTGTTAATCAGCTTCACCCAGTTCACCTGAGCCCTGCCTGATTGTCTCCTTGCTGCACCTGTGCGCTCCTCCTTTTAAGCAAAGCTCAGGCTCTGTCTCCCTGCCAGATGATCGACAGCCTTGTGTCCGTAGAGACTCCAGCGATATTTTCAACCAAGCCTTTTGACTTTTGACCACGTTTTGTGTCCACGGATTCTGCCTGCCTTGCCCCTCACGGATTCTCTCGCCCATCTGTCACCTGGACCCCGACCTTGGCTCTGAACTTTGACTACTGATCCCTGCTCAACACCTTGATAAGAATTGCTGACTTCTGTCTGTTTGTGTATGGCCTTGCCTGTATCTCACTCTGACATTGGATTTTTGGATACTTGAACTTCTGTGGGCTGTACTAATTGTCTGTGTCGTTTTGAGGAGAGAAGTTGAATCCACTGAGACTATGGAGACTTTCTGTGCTCTACATTTTATTTATTTCTACTCTGAACAGAAGAGGATTAGAGCCACTGACCAGAAAAGAAAAAGAGAATTCTTACTTAGAATTCTGACTTTTTTTCCTCAAAATTCTGACTTTTAATCTCGGAATTCTGACAGGGAATTCTGGGGAAAAAGTCAATTCTCTTTCTCTTTTCAGTGGCCCTAATCCTTTTCCGTACCTCTGACTTTACAGAAGGAACTGACATTTGTTTAATACAAATTTTCTTTTCGTGAGGAATGTTTACCATTCAACTCTCCTGAACATCTATCTGTCTAAAAAAATAAAGAAAAAAAATCTATCATCTATCTATCTATCTATCTATCTATCTATCTATCTATCTATCTATCTATCTATCTATCTATCTATCTATCTATCTATCTATCTATCTATCTATCTAAGCATGGTCCTGTATCTAGTTAAATGATTTCTCATGCACATTTACTGCAGTAATAGTCGTACATTTATGAACCCGTGCAGGGTTTCCCTCAGAGCCAGTGGATTCTGAAGGATATATGGTGTAGAGAACGCAGGCAGGAATAAAAAATATGAATCAATCCTGGAGAAGATGCTCCTAAATCCCTCTAATCCCTCAGCAGCCTGACACCTGTGCTCGTATTTATAGGTCGGTGATGGAAATGACCAGATGTGTGAGACATTGTCCTCCCCTCTAGTTGGGCAATGATGGTAAATGGTAACATGATTTTCACACACACACACACACACACACACACACACACACACACACACACACACACACACACACACACACACACACACACACAAACAATCACAGGAAGACGGCAGCAGCACAATAACAGTGACCATCACATGCATATAAAAAGGCTGAGACAACAACCTGCTTGGCTGAAGACAGAGGCAATCACACACACACACACACACACACACACACACACACACACACACACACACACACACACACAAACACCTATATCCATATCATGACCCACAACACTTCCTCAGCATTTGAAAACTAAACTTTCCATTTTTTGCTACATAACAATATGAGCACACACACACACACACACACACACACACACACACACACACACACACACACACACACACACACACAGAGGAGAGGGTGGTTAACACCCTGAGGTGTGACAGCCCCATCTGCATGTAATTCATCTGTGTGACGGCGCTTCGTCCTGCTGGCTGGTTAACACTCTCAGATTGGGTCACTGAAGATCCACCTGATGCCACTCCATCTCTCTCTCTCTCTCTCTCTGCTCTAACACCCACTTTTTGCTGCCTGCTTATCTCACCGTTCCTCCTGTTGCTCCGTCTTTTACTCCTCCATGTTTTCCTCAGCCCGTCTCTCTCGTTTGTCTTTGTGACAGTCAAAAAGTCGCAGCGGGGGAAAAAAACTAGCAGCCATAATTACCACCACAAACTGAGAGATAGGGGAGAGTGACAGGGAGGGAGAGGAGCGGGGAGACGAGAAGATGGGGAATGAGAGGTCGCTGATTACATCTCTTCAGCTGTCTGAGCTGTCAATCATGCCTCCGGTGTGGCAAGTCATCACTCATTTGATGTGAGGTGGTTGTACCAGCTGTGTTTGTGTGTGTGTGTGTGTGTGTGTGTGTGTGTGTGTGTGTGTGTGTGTGTGTGTGTGTGATTCCCCTGACAGCTGCTTTTTCTGCCCCTGAGGAAGACATCCCTCATCGCTGAGGAGAGCGACAGCGACAGAAGGCAGAAGGATGACACTGACCTTCGGCTGATGACGAAAGCGCTGATGAGGATGAGGAGGAGAACCACGCTGCCCACCACCGATACCAGTAACACTGTGGAGTTGGCTCCATCGCCGATGATGGGAGATGGAACTGTGGGTAAAATACATTATAGTTATGTTTGTTTATTTGTTCACTCAGAAAGATTCAAATCACAAAAATAGCACATTAAAAACAGATGAAAGAAACAAAGAGTCTGAAGTAAACATAAATTTGAATCAGAAAGTCTTAAGCTGCTTTGTTGAAGAATCCAGACTCATCCCACTGTTTATGTGCAACAGATTGGAAACCAATAAAACCCCTCTAGTTCTTGGTCTGGTCTCCAGAGCTGCTTGTGGTTTCTGATTTGATGGCCTGAGGAATCGAGTTTAGCAGTTCAGGCATACAAAGAGGATTTTGACCAATCAGAGCTCTGAAAGTTAAAGTCAGGAGTTTCAAACATGCTCTATATTTAACAGAACCGTTAAAACTGGAGTGAAGGTGCCTCTTCTGTTGGTTCCAGGTAAGAGAACCATCTTAAGTTCATGCTCTACCATCAACCGTCTTGGATAGGAAATTGATCACAGACGCCAAAAATCCTTCAGCTTGATTTGATGGGAGGATGTAAATGCCTGATCCGAGGAACCGTTCACTCTGAGGCAACAATCCGACATTCAGTCCTCCTAGAGTTTGACTGAAAATAAGCTTTTTTAATCAGTTAGTGATTAGCGAGTCATGTTGAGTCCAGAACGGCTGAATTTCACCAAAACAATCATAATCATCTTCTGAAAATAGGAGTGGGCCCACACCAGAGCCCTGGGGTTCTACACAGAGCAGATCAGTAATGATTCTGTTTGATTGAAAAAAAGCACGAAACGTCACAGATATGCTTTCAGCTTCCAGCTGAAGCCAGATGGACTGGTTGTTGTTTATTTTTGAGTGTGTCTGTTTTGATTTTCCTTCTTGTCTAACCACCTTGGTCAGGGGTGTCAAACATACGGCCCGCGGGCCGTGTTCGGCCCGCGAGATGGTTGTGTAAACTTTATTTTCATACTTTACAATGTAGAGTTAAAATAAACTTGTCTTTGTGAGCATGTTTTCTCTGTAATGAGTATAAATAAAACAAAGCTGCGCTCAAGGCTCACACAAGAACTTGAATCACATCCTGAAGTTGGCCGCCACTCAGGATGTGACTTCTGATATTGATGTGCTGGTGGTGAAGCTAAAAGATGTTAAAAGTGTATTTGACTCATTTTACTTAAGTGCTGCATGAAACTGATCTAGCCATGTGATCTGTAAGCCCTTTGAATCACTAAGGAATGTTTTTTTATTTTTATTTTTATTTTTTCTTCAAATTTTCAAGTACACTTCAGGTGTTGTACTTGTACTATTTTGGATACACTGTCCTCAGGCTCCAGCTTTGTTTTATATTGATTGTATTAAAACAAAGAAAACAATCTGAAGTTGTTTTTAATTTGCCGGTCCGGCCCACTTGGGACTAGATTTCCATCAATTCGGCCCCTGAGCTAAAATGAGTTTGACACCCCTGACCTTGGTAATTCCGTTCCAATCTCATTATAATATTCGTACAGCACAACAGATTTTATTTGTGGTTCCTCTTTTAAAAAGGAGTCGGGAAAGTTGTCTTTTTCGGTTGAAGCTCAAACGGACTGGAACACATTACCTGCTCATTTAAGATCCACCACATCTTCTCGTTTGTTTAGAATTTTGGTTTATGAATATGCGACGCCCACCTGTAACGCTTTTAGATTTAGAAGAAGAGGAAGAAAAAGGGAAAATGCTTTGATGAATCTGAGATGTGCCATGGCTCGATTTATGTGTTTGTTAATTTGTTTATTTTAATGTAGTTGTTTTTGTTAGTTTGTGATCAATGTTTCTTTTCCTTTTGATTGAGCTATCTTGAGTTTATCTGATGTAAGGTAAGAGGACCCGCTCGAACACGAGATGTTTCATCTCAAAAGGTTCCATCCTCATCAAATATAAGTTTATAAATAAAATAAATAAAGAGAACAGACACAAGGAAAGAGAAAGTGAGGAAGGTTGCTGTGACACAGTAACCGGTCTCAGTCCATGCTTGGTGTCTGTTTACAGTCGCTCCTGTAAAGTCACAGCTTCTTGTTCACTGCAGAGAGACAATGTCCCCGTTTGGACCAGGACATGAATGCAGCTGTCTTCAGACCGTAAGTGCTGTCCAAACACAGCCAGGCTGGGTGTTGGTGCTCGATGCAAACAGGGTCGGTGATAAACCACAGTAGGATGTGTGCCTGATTGTGTCTTTTTCAATTGCTGCTGAGCATTTGCATTGCAAAGGGACACCTGCAGGTTTTAATCAGCTGTTTACTCGTTTGTTTATTAATAATACCACAGGTGTTGCACTCCCTTTCAGGGTTTTCTAGCAGCAAAAACAATGCAGAATTTACTATGTGACTAACACAACAACAATACTATTGCCAATACTACTACGAGTACTACTACAGCAGTGTGCAACTTTCAACTGTGCATTTTTTCTGTTAACAAAAGTACTTGTGCATATTTTAACACCATTAAACTATATCAATCAATCAATCAATTTATTAAAGACACAAGAAGGTCCATAACAGATAGTAAATAATTAAAAAAGTGAAATAGGTAAAATATATGCAAGCTAATTCAGACTAACATGAAGGTTAAAATGCCAATAATTCAACATGTTGTAATAACTTAAAATTTTATATTTATGATACAAATGTTTCATGATTTCATTCGTACAGCTGCAAGCAACACATTCTCACACCCAAAGCGTCGAAAAATGACACGTGTGACCAAGCGTCAAAATATGACGATTCAGGGTGCCCCAGCGCGTCAGGAGAGGACGCGCTGTCCCAGAGCGTTGGTATCCGACGCCCGCGGTTACACGGACATTTGACAGAGTTGTGACCTACTTAACCTTCCCCTCACCCCCATTCTAACCTTAACCAGCTTGCACATGCAAAGCTTTATTGAAAATTGCTGAGTTAAGGTTAGGATGGGGGTGAGGGGAAGGTTAAATCGCTAGAGGTTCGAGGTGAAATGTCCGTGTCACCGCGGGCGTCAGATACGGACGCCCGCGAGTGTCCCTGCGCATCCTCTCCCGACGCGCTGGGGCACCTTGATCATTATATTGTGACGCTTGGTCACACGCGCCATTTTTCGACGCTTTGGGTGTGAGAATGCGTTGCTGCAGGTGGTCCTCACATCTGTTGAAACTTTATTTGTCTGCATGTTGACTTAGTTCATGGTGAATAAATGAGACGCTGATACGACTTGGACAGTTTATCTGAGGTTATAAAAGACAAAAACATTTTCTGAGACATGGAAACTTGAAGCTGACTGTAAAAGTGGAATTAATTTAAAAAAAAAGTATTTTCTTTTTTATTTGTTAACAGTTTTTCTAATATTTTTCCCAGACTGATTTAGTAAATCTCCTCCAGAACAACAACAACAACAACAACAACAATAATAATAACAATAATAAATGTCTGTTTATTTATTTTTTATTTTTGGCTTCCTTACATCACTGTAATGGGCTTACACAGGCCAGCGGGTTTGTGAGGCTAATTGGGAATATTGTGCAGTACACCCACAAATCTGCTGTTAGTGTTGACAGGGTTGCTAAGTGATTCCAAGTCTGGCTGAAACAGTGACCGTTTAAAACACTTTAGTTTGATCCTTGGCTGGAACGTCTACCGATGCATACATTTAGTCAGGTGAAAGAATGGACGAGTTCATTCTGATTAATGACTCTGTGACACTGCATGATTTTTTGTGAAATGATACGACAGGTCTGGCATGGTGTGCTGCTGGCTCTACAGAGCAGAGGTATCACCCAGACAATCAAAGGAGAGGTGGTGTGCTTATTGGGTGTTGTAGCACAGGATAGAGTGAAAAGCTGGCAAATTACAAAAACTATATCAAATATCCTTAATTTGTTGTTTTCTGGCATCCAAGAAGTAACAGCACAGCATAAAATACAGTAGCTTCAACTAAGTGCTAGTGTAGCTGTTGCGGCAAAACAAGCTTAAAGAGCAAGTAACGTCTAAATTAACTTTTTTTTGCTGATGAACTGTATAAATGAGTGTCTAATTGTGTTTTAAATGTGTGCATTCTTTATTTTAGCATTTTGGTTCATTTTCTTTAAAAATTAAAAATTCTGTCTAAAAACCACAGTAATGCGCCACCTTCAGCTGAAAACATAGAATTTGAGTCATTTTGAATAAATTTTAGCCAATGGCTAAAGAGTAAAGTACTACGTAAACCAGTAGAGTACTACGTAGCAGCTCCGTGCCAAAGTTATAAAAGCAACGGGCGTCTCGGCCACGCCCTGTGGCGCGTGGGAGTTGGATTTGCAAGCGAGCTTAGGAGGGCAGCGGTAGTTCAGCATTAGCATATAGCATTAGCATATCCTAGTCTTTAGCATATCTTTTAGTGTTATAAATACTTATTTAGTGTTAGCTTGGCTGTTGGATATTGTAGTTTAGTTAGTGTTTGGCTGTTAGCGTAATTGGGAAAGTATTTCGGTTTTAGTGTTCATATCGTCTTAGTATTGGTGAGATGGTGTAATGTAGTATGCTTGCGGTGACTCTGTGGGCATTTTACCCGCGATTCTGCACGTCTCCGTTTGAAGAGGGAGGCTGCCCACCGTGGCTCTTCCGCGATTTAGATGCAGCCCACCGACTCTGCTCCCCCACCACGGCGGGCTCCAGTCTGAGGTGAGTAAGCTAAATAAACGTTTTAACATCTTCTAAAGACAATTCCCTACCTAAATGCAAAGTCTGAGAGACGTGGTTCACTTCCTTTAGCTAGTCAGTTGGCAATTCTGCAACAGTGGCTCTAACTGACGCAGCAGTTGACAGACAGCATTACAGCGTGAAATCCAGCTGGTGACCCGCTTCTGTGAGGAATTCTGTTCAGGAGGTCACATTTCAGGCTCTCCACATCATGTGTGACTGACTTTTACGTTATAACAACGATCACACACTAGGAATGTTATAAAGCGCCTATATAGGAGATTCTTTTGTATATTATCTGACTTTATAAACTCCAACAACAATGTGCTTCTATTTTTTTTCAGGCTAAATCTACCCAAGACACTGGTTGTCAGACTGATTTAGCTGCAAGAATGCACTTGTCCAGGCTGATGTGAAACCTTCCCTGTAGCAAAGGTGAATTATTTTTAATAATCTTCTATGTAAACATTTTATTATCACCTTCTAGTTTTAATTTGTTTTACAGATTATTGTTATACGTGATTTTATGCTCTTTTAAACATTTATAAATGTGCTGCTTCTTTGTTTTTACATAGCCAGTCAGAATGGAGTTCACAGCCGCAGTGTGTCTGGTGACCCACGGTGACCATGATGAAAATTCATCTTCCAGAAAGTCCCAGAGCGTCCAGACCCCCTGAAAAGACCAAGATGTAAGGTGTCTGCTGTTGATTCCAGCTTCCACCTCAGTGACAGTGCAAGCTCAGTGAACTGTTCAAGGTAATAAATAAAAATTAAAACATTTCAGATTTTTTAAGATATTAACAATTAAATAAGTATGTGATTACATCATGACGGGGGCTACTGATTCTGCCCCTGTGACACTTGGTGGTGACGTGTGAGCTGATTCACCTGGAAAACAACTTTTACATTAAATATTTTGTTTTTGCTATCAAAAGTAAATTAACTAATAACCTGCATTATTGCAGGCCACTCAGCAAAATATGGACTCTACACCATGAGGCATGCACACATTAATATTCTATAAGAGCACATAAGGTGAGCAACACCACATATTATTGTACACTGTCCTGAATTTGTTTTCTTTCTGCATCTCATTAGCCTGGCTGATCACCTGATAACTTCTGTCATCTGGTTATGACAGCATGAGGATGTCCTCACACACCTGTAACCTATCAGCTCATCTGGCAGAATAGAGAGAGAAGAGACAACACCACATCTCCTGTTCCTGGAAAGCCTTCAGCCATCCTTTGATGACTGAGAACCTCCATCAGCTCTGTCTCCTGTCTGCCTACAATTATTATAATAAATATTGTGTTTGACAAGTTTTTTGTGCTGCCAAATATCTCATTTAGATTCCAGTTTTGATATTTTAATGGATATTTATAAATTACATTGATTATCACATTTTTGTTGCATGTTTAACTAGCTATTGTGATTAATTAAACTAGCACCTCGCTGTTAAAAGCTCGTTTTAATTTCAAGCATGTTTAAGTATTTATGGACATGAACAAAAACAGGAAATATATAAATTGAGATTTATTTAATTAATATAACAAATAAGGGGGAAAGAGTCATTGAAAGGCACATTCTTCTGGAAGCTCCTGATCCTGATGGCACCAGCAGAGGAGACCACCTGCAGACACCAGAGGCCAGCTGCAGACACCAGAGGACCTAGAACCGAGAGAGCAGCTGTTATTAGTAAATAAATAAAGAAATCAGGGCAGTTTTAGTGAGCTGAACACATTACAGAATAATTTTCTCATGGGGTATTTTCATAACTTTATATGCAGCAGACTGTAACTTGAGCCCAGAGCTACCGGAGAGCTGCTATCCAGCATGTTTCAGTGGATTTTCCTGCTTTAACAGGTTAGATTAGCTGTTAAGCAGCTCAGCTATTTGTTGCTGATTAAAACCAGGTGTGCTGAAGCAGATAAACCTCTAAAACATGCTGAATACTAGCTTTTTAGGGCTGTGGAGACAAACCCTGCAGCTAATCCAATGCTATGGCTAACGGCTACTTACCTTTCAGAGGTGATTCTGTTGGGTCGGTTCTGGGAGTTTCAGGCAACTCACAAGCTCAAAACAATAAGACTCAGGTCCGCTTGTCTCCTCCAAATAGACTTGGTCCCTTTCTTCTCGAGTGTCTGTGTAAAGAGGGGGAGAAACGTCCTCCACTTCTAATGACCGCTCAGAGTGAAGGGAGCTAGCTTCGTCTAGTTAGCCATCGTCTTCGTCACTGCCGCGGCTCCGCCCACTCGGTCCTCCAGGCAACGCCTACTAATGTTGCATTTTTTAAAATTGATACGTGGGTGGAGAAGGACTCCGAGGCTCAATTGACCCGCTCTTTAAGAAGGGAATGATGGGGTTGAACGTGTGTTTAAACAACACGTTCTCACACCCAAAGCAGGTAAAACCGACGAAGCATTCGTTTACGGAGGCGACGTGCTGTGACAGAGCGTCGTTTCCCGACGCCCGCGGTAAAACGGAGATTTCACCGAAATGTGACCTTTACCCTCTTGCAATTTAACCTTCCCCTCACCCCCATCCTAACCTTAACCCACTTGTGCATGCAAAACTTTGATTCTAGTTGTAACGTTCCTCTCAAGCATGGTTAACGGGAAATTTAGAGCAAGAAACTGGGTTAAGGTTATGGTTGGGAGGGGGGTGAGGGGAAGGTTAAATCGCTAGAGGTTAGAGGTTAAATGTTGGTGAAATGTCCGTATTACCGCGGACGACGGAAAGCGATGCTCTGGCACAGCACGTCGCCTCCCGACACGGAAACAAACGCTTGGTCACCCTTCGTCAGTTTTAGCCGCTTCGGGTGTGAGAAAATTTTGGTTTTAACCATCCATTTAAATACAAAATGGATAAAACATCTCGGTCCTTTTCCACTTTTAACATCATTAATATACGTCAGAGTACCTACCATGTTTGAATTACTGTGCTGTTCGGGCATTGGGACTGAAAGAAAACGAGTGACTATGAATTTCAGATGTTTCTAAGTACTTAGCACCTTGTGCTAGGGATGAGCGAGTACACCACCATCTGTATCTGTTCAACCATCTAAATTATCTGTATCTGTACTCGGAGTGGGTGTGGCCTAACCCGGAAGTGGATGTAGTTTAACCGGAAGTGGGTGTGGTTTACATAAATTATTTTAAATCTGAAATTGATATGGATTGATCAGAAGTTGCTATGTGTATTGTTTATTTGAAAACTATTTACAGAGTTGCCTTAGAGTTGAGATTAAATGTTTCTGATCACAATAGTAAAGGAACTATTACAGAACAAGTTTTTTAACAAAATCAGAACATTAATATTTAAGTGCATGAATTAAGAGACAGAGAGAAGAAAAGATCTTTTCTATAGCTCCTCTCAAGATGAAAATCACGAGGCGCTTCACAAAAACAAAACATGTAAAATAGAAAAAAGAATTTAGAAAATGATTAAAATATGTTTAAAATGAGCAAAAAATAGACAATTTTGATTAAAAAATGTAAAGAAGGAGAGAGAGTGAATAGGAAAGAGGGAGTGGATCCTGAGGAAGAGGAGAGAGAGAGAGAAAAAAACCCCGACCGGAGTGGAGGCAGTGACTGACGCAGCACGAGCCGTTTTCAGCTGTCTTGTCAAATGCACCACGTATGTTACCAAAAAAGTAACTTTAAATAACTTTAAAGTAACTTTAAAAAGAGGCGAACTGAAGAAAACATAGGGAGTACTGAAGAGTGAGCAACAGTGAAGCAAGCACAGAGAGATCCGTTACTGTCTGTGCGTGTGCGTGGATGGACCGTACGCTGACTGAGCAGTGAGCTCCCGGCTGCAGAGTTTTGTGTGTAGGGAGGGGCGGGCGCTCTATGTGACTGGCCAATCATAGAGCGTGAAGACAGTCAGTTACCCAATGAGGATTTTCCTTCAGCACGATTACAGATATTTACCAGTTTTACTCGTTCCATGCTCGTGTTCGTCAAAAATGCTTTATCCGTACCGGATACTCGTCTGAAACGAGTATCCGGCTCATCCCTACCTTGTGCACACGGCCAGATCATCAAATCAATTTTAAGGACTCACCTGATTACTGTAATGGCCCTAAAAATAATCCCATATGATATTCCTGCCATGTGTGGTGTGTTAAGATTGTTCTGGACTGCTCAGGAGCACATCAGGGATGCTCCAGTCATATTCAGGGGTAGGCAATCCTAGTGCTGGGGTGCCGCTATCAGCATGTTTTAGCTCCAACACACCTAATTGAATGGCTGATTCACCTGTTCACCAAGATATCAAGCTGAACTGTTAAGCGCCCATTAAAATCAGGTGTGTTGGAAACGAGAAAAAACGAAAACATGCTGGGTAGTGGCACTCCAGGACCATGATTGCCTATCCCTATGTTGGGATTGATTTTAAGGGCTAACGTGTGCTTCTTGATGCATTTGACGTGTAGCCAATCAGAAAGTGAGGTGATAGAAGTACGCTGAACGATCTCTGCCATTTTTGTGTACTCCAAAGTCACGTTTGATCTCGAGATGTTTTGTGAGATTTCCCATCTGACTGAGGAATGTTCATGTGGGAATTTGGTATGTGTGTAGTGTAGATCTTGCCGTGTCTCCAGACACCAGAAAGTCCAAAATGGGGAATTTCTGTTATTTTTTGACCACCACATGTTGGATCTTCCATGTTTTAACAATCTAAATTTGTCCAAGTCCTGCCAAGGGAACCAGGTCAAACCCTTCTAATTTAAAATGATCCATTATATATTCCTATAAAACTGAACTCAATAATAATCATTTCATTTAGCTAAACATGGTCATATTCAGAGGGTGTAACACCTTGAGAAAGGGCTTTAGATGCATCACAGCTGAAGAACCAAACTCAAACTGAATCATGAGGTACGTTGTTCACACTCACCTGAGTTGGTCATGAATTCAAAGGGGCCGCTGAAATCCCCATAACCAGCTGCAGTCCGGGCGCGCACATGGAAGACGTAAGAGGTTAGCGGGGTGAGACTTTTGATGTCGGCATTCCTGAACGACGTTTTTATGATCCTGTAACTCCTTTCGTTCTGGTCCTTCAAAATGAAATCAGTGTTAATCAGAAGTCCCTTCAGGTTTACTAAATAAAGCAATGTGTCAGTTAGTGCCCCTCACCTTCTCATAATACTTGACCTCGTACTCCAGGATTACCCCGTTCGCTCTTTCTGGTGGCTGCCATGCTAGTGAGATGGTGTGTCTGGTGATGTCCTTGGCCTGGATTGATGTCACTGGAGACGGAGCTGGTCAGAAAAACAGGACGTGGTTTAGCTTAGCATTTTGTCTGGTGTCTCTTTGTTTCCTTTTGCTGTGGTCTCTACTAGGGCTGCACAATATATTGTAAAATTATCGTCATCACGATAACAGGACGTGTGATAGGCCCATCGCAAAGCATGTCAAAAACGGCGATAAATGTTTGGTTCAATCATTTCCATCAGTGTCGTACATCAACTTTTTGTAAACCAGCTCTGTTTTTTACGCGGAAGTATTATTTGACCAATCAAATGTAGCCCTTCTGATATGCGGCCAATCAGATGGGTCCGTTCACGTAATACGCCCGCCCCCTACGTAGACCCTTACCCCAAAATTCCACTATCTCCACTCCACCCCCGCTTTCCGCTGCCGCTCACTTCCCTTGTTCGTCATACTGGCTCAGATTAACGAACGCACTTTGTGCTGAGGTTTCTGGAATCAGCGCTGCTTTCAAACGTGAACGTGAGTCCGCTCGGTGTCGTTAAGCAGCTGATAATAACCGGGATGACTCAGACACGTGCCGGCGAACCAACCCACCTTAGCCCTGGGCTTCGGTTAGCTTCCAGCTAAAAGGCTACAGCACTCTCCTCCCAGTCCCACCCTGCTAAAGAGGGCCTGGAAAAGTTCCCCCACACATCAAAGTGATTTTTCGTTTATGAGCTTTTATAACCTTATTAATCAGGATAGTTGATTTGCTGCTGCACATAAACTGTCAGTCAGAAGCTCTGCTAGCCGGTTATCTTAAGCCCTTTTCAGACAGACATTCTGTAACATTTGTGGACAATTCAATTCGGTTTTTAACCGGAACCGTGTTTTCAGACACACCACTTTTGTACCAGAACTTGTCCTTTCGGCTGCGTTCACACAGCAGGGAAAAGTTCCAGATGTCTGACGGCGGCGGGGGGTGGGTAGAATCGGACTCATGTTAAGAAGAAGAAAATTTCATTTCTATAGCGCCTCTCAAGATAAAAATCACGAGGCGCTTAAGCATAATTCTGCGCACACGAAGACGCATAAGAGACCTGGATGATGAAGCTCAACGGTTAAAGGAATCACTGAAGCGGTGTGAAGCGCTCCGTCGCGCGTCTAGGCGGTACCGTAGGAGGCGAGCTGCCGTGGTTTGCCGCATGCTACAGCAGCGAGCTATCTAGGTGCGCACAGCGTCCCCTCCTCCTCCCCCTCCCCCTTGTCCGGAACTCTACCTCACCAGTCTGAAGCAGCCACCCTGTCCGTAACAAGTCCGGACCTGTTACTAGGGGCTTCGTCCGGTTAAATTCCGGAACACGTTATCCGGATGTTTGTATTCAGACACAAAGGTCTTACGGACAGAGTCCGGAACATTTCCGTTTTTCATGGCCTGTCTGAAGGGGGCTTAAGAGAAGCTAGTTCAATTTGTTAGCTTGTTATCAGAATCATAGTTGCAGTTTCATCATCTGAGCTGCTTTTTAAGATCTAGGTAAACTTGTTCAATTTGGGGATAAAAACAAACGTTTTCACATATATTCCATGTAGTTTTTTGCCAGTTCCTCTTCTGAAAGGTAGACAATTGTTTTTCTCTTTCCCTCAGAAAATCTTAATATTCTCCTAGTTTGGCCCAGCACAGATCACTTCCCAATTGCAGCAACAGCCTTATATCATAACCACATAAGCGGAGAAAATGCTCAGTAGCAATGAGAGAATTTGCTGTTGCATTTAAGTGATGTTAACTATTATTTAACATTTAAACTTACTTTCTGATTTTTTTATATTCAAAAAACCCTGGTAAGGGATGTTTTTTCTGTATTTGTAGCATCAGAAAAAGTTTTATGGTGGAGGTGATGTTTTAAAGTCACTGAGAAACTGCATGCATGCATGCAGTTTGTTGTTTTGCTGCTAATACAGTAGCAGGTGCAGCTGCATACTTTTGCAATAAAAATGTTATGTTGTAATGGAATTCATGGATTAGTTTTTGTTTGCTTTGAACCCAGAGCAGACGTCACACGCCAGACAACATCGACACTGCATACTTTAGTATTTGTTCATTTATCGTGAGTAATATCAATATAGCAATATTAAGAAGCACTGTTATCGAATATCGCAGGTTTTCCTAATATCGTGCAGCCCTAGTCTCTACATAAATACCACCAGAGTTATTGTCTGTGAAGAAAAAACAGCCGTGGTGTTCCTGTTTCAAGAAGTAGAAGGTGGTTGGAGGAGAGGAGGGAAGAAAGCAGCAGTATTTGGAGTCATATCTCCTGATATTACAACACCTCGCCTCTGATTGGTTAACAGTAACACGACAACCACTCTACGTTGATGTTTTATCTCCACAAATATCACAAGCCTGGCGGAGTTCTGCTGTGTGGTGGAGTTGCTAATGCTAACGATTAGCTTCTGCACACTAAATCAACAACAGCCTTCCCTGTTGTGAATCAAGATGGGTGAGTCCATGAATGCTAATTTTCAGATATGAGTGGCTTTTCTCCGTCTATTTTCCATCAGTCTAAAACAGGAAATCGGAGTAGAAAACCATTTTCATGTTCTGTCCGCATGTTACAGTCAGAGTGACTGATCACATTTCAGAAATAAGTGTCATATGTTTCCCAGTTAACCTAGCCTTCAAAATAATATATTGGCTAACACGGTTGTCAGCAGTCATATTGAGAAATTCCAGTTGCGTTTGGAAGCACTCAGTGCTACATTTTCCTGCTACTGTCACAAAATCTCTTGTAACAATTAAGTACGAGAACAACTGACAGCAGTATAAATGTTTACAAAATATTGTGTGAATAATTAAGATGTTTAATAGAATGTAGCTGTTTTCAAATGGCTACTCAGATTAGCCATTAGCTCATCGGTGCTTTAGGATGCATACTCTGTTCTCAGCTGCTCGGGAGGCTGTCCACAACAGCTAAGATACTAATTAATTCTCATTTTGACACAGAAAAAGTCTTCAGAATGTTTTGAAATAATTTCCCACCCTTTTCTCCTCCTTCACAGCCAGACCGCACATTTCCCTTCCATCCAGAATCACATGTGCTCCAAAGCTGAGTTGCTAGAAGTAGATAATAAATATTCCACACAGAGATTGCCAGCATACAGCAATAATCTGGCATGAGTAAAACTAATCCAAGTTGACACGAGCGTCTTTTCCTAACTTCATTTAGAGTAGACTGCCAGGTCACCCTGAGAAGACCTGATTCGCTAGAAAGTAAACGAATCAAAATAAATGACCTGAAGACTTTTATTATTTTTTAATGAGTTTTATTTTTTAAACAGCTTGAATCAATTGGTTTTCATTAAAGCTGTGGTGTGTGATCTTATCCTAAGCCCTTTCTGCTGCAGCTGATAATGAGGCCATATTTCAAGATGACGCGAACACATGAAGGTTAAAGCACAGATAATAGACCACGCTTGTTCCCTCCCTCCGGTGCGTCACCAGCACACAAATCAAACCTCTATCTTTAAGCAGTGTGACAGCACCAAAATTGGGTATACACCCTTTCTTGAAGAGGAACGTGCAGGCGCTGGGAGATAGTGTTGGAGACGGAGAAACGCCCGTGTCAGGGAGGAGTTTTGATCAGGCAGAAGGAACATCAGATGGTGAAGACACAAGCGCCTCTAATGGGTCTTAGCATCGCTACAATTCAAACGTTTCATTTCTTCTCCACTAAACACATTCAAAGTCTGTGTAGCATCTGCTCTGAGAGGAATCTTTGACCTCTGATCCTCGACGATTACCATAACCTTACTCACTCCAGACCATCTGCCTTTTAAAGCATTACAGTGGGGTGATTAATGAGGGGATTTATGTCCACCGATTATGATTGGATTCTCTGCGACACTATATACATTCTCATCACTTGGACCATGGACTCCAGGGAGCCTAACCTTCGAGCTAACGCTAACAAACCCGTGCTTTTAGGCAGGGATTGGGTTCAAACGGGACTGGAATATAAGCACCAGCCGTGGATTGAGTTTCACTGAGATGAAGAAGCAGCAGCAGGGAGGAGGGTTTTCGTGCGTGTGAGAGGGGGAGGGGGGGGGGCATGATGAAGATGGAATAGATAGGAATGCAGACGTCTCTTGGTAAACGGATTAACCCAAGGTTGTGTCATCTTGCTGGCCTAATGTGTTGCATCTCCGTTAAACAATTAGACAGCGGCCATTTGTATCCCCTCAATCAATCTTCCTCGACAGCAAGAGCCAATTTAAAGGCCCTCATGGGTCTGGAAGAGGACGCTCTGATTCAGAAAGGAAACACCTGAGAGGTCGGGGGGGCTGCGTTCCCCAAAGACAAGCCACACATCCATCTTTCCTCTAAAGATGAAAGATATGGCCACGTAATCGTGTTCTGCTGCTCTTGTTGTTCTTTCCCCTTCCCAGCTAAAGTGAGGATCCAAATGAGTGTAGTAACCTTAAACTTTGATTGATAAATCCTAAAGTACTGATGATTTTATATCTGATTTGACCTTTTCTCTATGCGTCGTTGATTCTTGGCCATCAAACTCAGAGAATTGTCTTGCTTTATAGAGTTTCTGCAGGTATCAGTACAGGAACCCATGCCTGATTTAGAACAAGTCTAAGATTTACTATGTGTGAAGGTGAACTAGCATCCAAAAAGGAAAACCAACAGATCTAAATAATATATTTTTATATATTAAATAATGATCATAAATTCTTGCATTTACAAAAGTCCGTCTGAATTAAAAGAAAATGCGTTCCACTGGAGTTCGTGTTTTAGCAGATCGAGCGACCTGCCTTGGTCTCCTCTGGATAAACAGACTCAGACATTCTTGTCTCTCTTCAGGAAGGATCGGGTCTGAAACACTTCAGTGGTTTTCTGGGCTTTTTTGTTTCTGTTTTTAGGACTAAACATGTGCATGCAGAAATGACACACTGAAAGAATAATCAACTTAAGTTTTTGTATCCTACTTTTTATCTAATTCCTCTAATGGTGGACCACTCTGTCAGCCCAGCATGACAACTATAAACACGCCAGTTTGTTCTA